CGAAAGAGAAAGTGTGAGTGCGAGCGAGACAGCGAGTGGGAGTGAGTGAGAGCGCCTATGGAGGGTATTCCGTCAGCCCTTGTGCAAACAGATAAAACCATAAAGTGTTGACATTGTTAAGAGAAGTGCCACAAATATAACAACAACAAGCAGCAACAGTTGCAAACTGCTGACAGCAGCTCCGCATCGGAGATACCCTGTAAAAGGGCAACAAGAGAGCGTGTAAGTGGGAAAGCAAAACTAATTAAGTAGTAATTGTGAGATAAAACGAGGATATGTATATAAGGATATATAAATATATGAGGATAAGTATATATAAATATATATATTTACTATATATGATACTATATAGGATATATGTATATAAGGACAAGTATATATATGATAAAAATGTAAAATTTAAATAGAAACGATTATATGTTTATCAATGTAAAAATATCTAGTTTTTCTGCAGTTTTTTATATAGGGTATCTACTAGTTTGGGAGCAGTTTGTGCTGCCCTTGGTTAACTTAACTTTTAACTTAAACTTTTTTAGCCCTCATATGACACTAAACTTTTTTAATCAAACTTAACGAGTGCTCTCTCGCAGTAATCTCTTCTTTATGCGCTCTATATCCCTCTATATCCCTCACTTCTTCGCTTGTCCCTCTCTGTATCTCTCTATCTTTCTCCACAACTCTCCATTCCTCTTGCACATACCAAGATTCGCTCTATATCTCTTAGCCCGTTTCTACATCTTTCTCTCCATCTCTTTCCCTCAGCTCCTGGCTGTCTCTTCCCTCCCTTTCTCTCTGCCCATTGCCTGTCTCTTGCGGCTCATTGCATTAATGCACTTAAAAATAATTGTCAACTGCACTTTTGCACAATAATTCATGCTCGGTCAAATGTTCTGGCTCATTATAGTCAACAACAAAAAGCTGGCCATCAGCGCAATTATCAGCCAGCCGAATATGACAGAAACAGCGAAAGCAGACAAAAGGAACGAGAGCGAGAGAGATATACGATGTATGTAGATGTCGGGCCAAATATAGAAGTAAACGTGATGAATGCCAAACAAGTTGACTGCCAAAGTCAGAGCCAAGTTACAAGGACAAACTTTTTGCCAAGCAACAGCAAAAGCAAATACAACTGCGATAAATAATGCATTATAACAAGACTAAAGACAACAACAACAGCAACAGCAATGACAATGACAATGTCAATGACAATAAAAACAAGAAATGTCAAATAAATTGTAGACGGCGCGTAATTTTAATTATTATGAACTCGAAAAGCGCGAACTGTGAAAATTAGACATTCATTTCGAAAAGTGGGAAATCCCATGTGGAAAAGCCAATTGCTGGATGGGCCCCAAACGGAACGCAACTGTGAAGACAATGGAGCCAACAAAAGTTTGTGCCATGCCCAAATGAACTTTTGTTGAGACAGGCGAGTGAAAGGGAGACAGAGAAAGAGAGAGAGAGAGAGAGAGAGAGAGAGAGAGAGACAGAGAGAGAGCGGGAGCTGTGAGTGAGTCAAAGTGCGTGTATGTGAGCGTGTATATTAAATGTGTGAGTCACATGTGCTCAGCCGTCATAATGCTTTGTTTTCACGCTACCCTGTACTCATTAAGAGTTTGGTTTGGGAATATGTCTAAACTCTATTTTGTATTCGACAAAGTTGTTATATGTATATGAGTTAAATCTTTAAAATTTATTATAATAATCGGCAATCTAAACTATTTTTATATGAAAATATTGAAAGATTGAAGATCGTATACTATTAAGTTGATTTTTTATATATTATGAGACCTTAATATCAATTATAAGTATTCCTTTTCATTTGCATAGCTGGTAGATCACAGAAATGTTTTCTCTATTTATTGTCTTCTCTCTTAATCTCTCTCTCCCTCTGTTTCTATCTCTTAACATAATTTTAGTAATCAATATTTTGTGTATTCATAAGAACTCCCGTACAATACGTATTCCAATACAACACATAAACACGAAAACTTCTTAGAATGTGCCACACAGCTGCATGATGGCCACTCTTACACATAGACAGGGTAACTAATAGTCGTTCACTCTCGCTCAACGGCGCTCGCACTTGTTTACTGTCACATTTGCAGCTGACTGAACTACAAGGCAAAGACATTTCGCGACATGTTCCTAAGGAAGCGCACAAAAGTAGGCAACACAAATGCGCGCTCGAAAGAAGGCTACGATAATTACATGCTACAATGCGAGGCATGTGCATGTGTGTGTGTGTGTGTGAACAGCTCTGTGTGGATGGATGGGTGGGGCGGTGTTTATGCATATATTGTGTGCGTCTCATGTCTGCTTGCTGTATTCAATATCAATTCATGTAAATTTAATTACGCATGCCTGCGTCCTGTTTGCATGCCCCAGCCAAACACACACACACACACACACACAGACGCACTGCTGTTTGCGCATATTTGATTACCTACTGAGCTACAGCAACTGTCTGGCAACTCCGCGCCAAACTAATTAAAGTCTTCATTGGCAAGCCAAACAACTTGCAACATGCACAGAATGTTGCACATTATTGTTGTTGTTGCTATTGTTGTTGCTGCTTTGGCGCCTAAGTTTTTCTGGCCTGGAGAGCCCGACGCGCCACTGAGCCGGCATATTATTTCGTTATTAACCGAAAAGTTAAACTTTTAATGCATCGCAAATTGTTTCGCAATTAACAGTTGCTAAGTTGTTGCACGCATTTGGTTGTCTTAGAGACAGCAGCAGCAAGCCAGTTAGCTGGAAGAAATTATGCATGCTTACTTAATACCCTGGAATACGTTGAAAATCTCGTACAGATTTAGAGTTCTTCGCTCCATAATAAAGCGAACGCCGATAAGTTGTTGCAACAAAAGTTTGCGTTAACAAAAGTGTTGCAAGCTAAACAAACTGCAACAGCAACGGCACGCACACACGCCTTCCGTTCCGCCCACGTCAGTTGCAAACTTTTTTGATTTGGCTTTGTTTATTGTCAGCTCAAAGTTGAAAATCCGTAACGAAATTTCTTCAAAGAACTTTTGCCAGCGCTACCGAAAATTCAAATTGCAATTCGACATTTGTTGCCAGCAGCTTTAAGGTTGAGACATTGCAGCAGCAGCACCAACAACAACAACAGCAGCCGTCTTCCACTCAACAATACGCATAAATAACAAAAAAAATAGTCAAGTAAAGCAAGCAAAGTTGGCTTTAGTTGCTTTTCCTTTGGCGCAGGCGACGAAAGCCAAAACTCGTTATCATTTAATACCAGCGAAGGATGCGGCGAGTGGCTGCCAAAGCAACTCAAGCGATTGGCAGCTAACGGCGGCACCACGGCCGTACACTGCGAGAAAATATTAAAGTATTTATGCAATCAAATAAATATTAGTCTAGACCTTTAATCCTGCAGAAGTTCCTTTACTCGAAAGTCTTTTCTTCCATTCAACATTCTTTCGCTAATCTAACTTTAACATAAAAAACTTTATTTAACAACACATTTGTTAGCTTAATTTCTCTCAGTGCACTCTCATTTGAACGTCTTGCCTGCAAACACTCTTTACATTCTCTTGCTCTATTTCTTTTTTATCTGTATATTAGGCATTCGCTTGCGCTTTTGTTGCAACATTCACATTGCACAATATTTGCATAATACAGACTGATTGATGTTTGACTGTTGCACGAGAGGAGTGTGTTGCTGCAGCTAGAGGCAGAGACTTCGCCTGGTCGCTATTGGTAATGAAAAACGGGCCAAGAGATTGCCAAAGATTGGCAGCCCACATTGGGCTGAGTCGTTCAAGCGGATTACAACAATTCACAACTTGTAAATATGATGCCAGGGCGTTCTACTATTTGCACAGATACAACAACAACAAATGTTGTTAACTGGCACAAGGCAACATCGGCTAGAACAACGACAACCTGGCGCAATCGATGGCCTGCTTGTGCCACACAGCCTCGACTCCATTTGCTGCCGCTGAGTGCAAATAGTTTTTGGTTTTTACTTATTGTTGACTGAGCCTGCCCGCTCCTGCCCGCTCCTGCCAGCCGACCCTACCCTAGATATATGTATTCAGCCCCTCACCCTCACCCTCATGCTGCCGCCCCTCATTCGCTACAAGCAGCTGGCGCTTAGCCAATTCCCATCCAGCATCCAGCATCCAGCATCCACACAGAACGACAAAAGAATGCTCAGGCTCTGCCTTTTTGTTTACCAACCTTAACAAAGACTTTGCCGCATTGCCTCGTATTTTCCTATTTCCTCAAATGTCCAAATAAACTCGCTTTCAAAGCAAAAAGGTGCCGCAAATTCACACCAAGCCAATAAATTATGTAACGATTTATGAAAATTTAGCTGCTGAAAGCGAAGTTGGGCATAGAAAAAGTTCGCAAATAGTTTCTAATTTGTCGGCGAGAGAAAAAGGCGTTCGAGAAGTTGATTGAATGGATTTATGTGCTCTAGCCTAACTTTAAGAGGTAATAACATTTTGTATTAGATTTATGACTATAATAAAGCAAATTTAAGAGTTGGTAAATGAATGCATTTTTACAGGGTATATCAAGTCTGCGTTAAGCATTTTTTGCGGACAAGTTCAAGTGAAACAGCTAGACAATAGAACACAATTTTAACAGGGTATGTGAAGCTTGTACACAGCACATCTACTATGATTTATTACAGGGTATCTATATGTCTATGTCTCTGATAAATACACTGTGTGTATGAATTGAAAATATACTTTTGTTTTAATAATCGCAGTAGGCCTGCCGTAAAATTTTTTGAACCTGCCTCCGAGCAAAACAAAATATCGTCAGTTACTTCGAGACTTCCAGAAGACTATAAACTCATATTTACATACAACTTTTTTTTTTTTTTATTTTTATAGAAGTATTTTAACAAAAATCCTTTAGTTTTTTTATTCAAAATTTTAGTAAATTTTTGTTGTTTTTTTTGCTTATTTTTTTTATAAAACTACGAAGGGACAATAGGTATAAAAAATGGACGGTTTTTGTCCTCGCCACTCTAAAGGATCGCAGGATGAATTCGAAAAACGTAGCATCCAAAGTCAAACCAGTGCTACACTGGCCCAAATGGATGCATTTGATTTCGATCCGGTAAGTAAAGCTCTGATTGTTCAAGGCATTATACGTATACGCGTGGTATACAAAGCAAACCCAACTGTTTAATATCTAAAATCCTATCCTATTGCACCCACTTATAGCGTCCAATGTACCTTTATACTTTTGACGAAAACTTAGTCAATGGCACCAGCGTTTGCTGTCAGGAGTGCGCCGAAACTGACACTTATGAGGACGCTTGCAAGAGGAGGCGCAAGAAGCGGTGTTGCCCGAAGCCACGCTGCAAGCCAAGGCCGTGCTGCAAGCCGAGACGGTGCCGCAAGCCAAAGCCTCGCTGCAGGCCAAAGCCTCGCTGCAGGCCATGCTGCAAGCCGAAGCCCCGCTGCAGGCCATGCAAACGTAGGCCAGCTTGCCCCAGGCGTCGCAAGCCACGCCGCAAGCCGTGCTGCTGCCCCTCCTTCTAAAGCCACCTCTGCCAAGTCCTATTATCTCTGCTCATCAATCAATGTGTGTGTGTGTATATGAATGTTTGTGTAAAATGGGGTCAAATCTAGTCATCTGGAATCGTTTTTAACTTTTAGTTTGTGTGCGTGTTTATCAAGGGGGTGCAAAATAAATAAATTACCAAAAAATTCAAACAAAATATTTTTAATTGCGCAAGTTAACTGGAAAATATTGGTAAATTCGCAAAATAAGATTTGTTTTGAGAAAGGGCGTACTGAATTTATTTATTAGTTGCCTTCCAAAGGCTCACTCCGTATTCCAATGTGGGCGACCTGCAACAAGTACATAGACCTTATCCTAATATGAATATGTATGCGAATGTATGAGAATATTATTCTCATATCTCAGATTGAGACGAAATCTGAGATCCGAAATATGTAAATAATATTATATCATACGCCATACCAATGTATGAGAATATTCTAATATCTCAGATTGAGATGAAAATTGAGATCAGAAATATGTGAATAATATTCTCATACATTCGTATGGCGTATGATTAGCTTTCTGCAGGGCATTACGAAACTAAAATATTAAAATGCTCTATTACATATTAATATCATGATCCATTCTGGTAAAACACTTGCTTTAAGTATGTATTCATCACCCCCATTCTGTGTGTATGAACTCAAGTGATTTCCCTATTCCTTCCATCTGCCCTCACAATAATAATACTATTACTGCTAAATCTCGTATGCAGCCCCATTATATACCATCACCTCTACAAGTATTCACACATTTATTGCATCCCTAACACATTTTTAGCATTTTGGGGTTTACTAAACTTCCCCAAATAAATTTTCATTAGCGCCGTTTTGTCTAATGAGTTGAACTTTTGCCAACAGAACAGAACTGAGTGGAGCTTGGCTCCCTCTTGAGCTGCTGACCCCAACAGTTGCACCTTTTTGCTCCATAACGCATTAACAGATGCCTGACTGCGTGTCAGGCATTTAGTTGCCCGCGTGCTGCTCCCGCGCACCCTCTCGTGCGCCCACTGTGTGTCTCCCTTGGCTGGACTTATTAAATGCACTCGAGCGAAACATCAAAGTTGCCTCGATTTGTAGCTGGCTCATTCGCTTCCGCATCCCCGTTCGGGGAGTGCCCTCAGCTGACTCTCAGTTGGCTCTTCATGTTTATTAAATAGTTTCACGTCGTGTGTCTATGGGGGTCGGTGCGGTTGGTTGCCAGTGGGCGTTGGTCTATTTGCATAGGTTAAGGTTTGCTGTCAGCCAGAGCTCTTCCTTCCTGGTGCATTGCATTTGTTGCAATTCGTGGCATATTTCAATTTTTGCTATTGCTATACCAACAGCAGCTGCAGCTGCAACTGTTTGGCCTCTGCTTTTTCCTTCCATTCATTGCTCTGCTGAAGGAGTTTTTCTTTTTCTCGTTTTTTGTTTCTTTTTTGTGCATCTCTTCATCGAGCTTGCTGTGGGGCTGCTGCTCCTGCTGCTGTTGCTGCTTTGCCATGGCAGCCTTTGACGCGTTGCTCTTCCAAATGAAAACCAAACAAATGTCACGCTGATCCAAGCAACCTCTGCTGCCGCCCTTGCCTCAATGGCACGCCCCTTTGCGCTCGCCCATTTAAAGCACAAATTGCAAATTGCAAAAATTTTGCGCTTTGTCGTTAGAAAAATTGCGTATACGTTGCTACGTAAAAGACGTAAAAGCGCCTTACGACAATTTACATTTATTGCCAGCCATTTCAACCGCATAAATGGCACTCGACTAGGGGGCGGGCCGACGCCACAAAATGGGCGTGGCTGCATTCTATTATATTATTAAGCTGACATTGGCCCCGAGCACTTGTTATTGTTGTTATTGCTGCTCTGGCATACACAAACACTTGGCATGAATTATGGTTGCCAGCAGAACAAAATGGCAAGCAGGAGAGAGAGAGAGAGAGAGAGAGAGAGCGAGAGAGAGAGAGGGGAGAGTGCAGATGAGTCTGTCAACGAGTTGAGAGTTGCCAATTTGTTGCTCCATTGTTTGTCTTGAGGACATTTCAAATATTTTTGGGTAAGCTTCAAGACTGAAACTCAATGCTC